TCTAACTAGACCCACTGAACACCCAGATGTACCAGCTTAGATGTAGCCTCTACCAGGCACCACGAATCGCTGGAAAAATAGTAGAAATTAGCCAAAATAAAGGGATAGTATACCAGGGGAGTTAGCCGGCCAGAGAAGATCTAATTTGCGCACCTGGTACACAGTATATTATCCTTTATTTTGGCCAATTTCTACTATTTTTCCAGCAATCCGCGGTGCCTGGTAGAGGCTAGCTAGCCCTTCAAGAAAATACGCAAATGTATAGTCTTCCATTGTCCTGTTGATGAGTAACATTCAACCTTCTATATAATTTGTATGTATCGGTATTAATTAGGATTTTGCCCACAGTGACAAAATTTTCCTTAAAAAATGATGGTTGGAAAATTTGCCTGTCAAAGCAAATTGTGCAAAGCACGAGTAGATTACTGCCCGCAGATATTTACATGTAGTTTTATGACTACATGTACAGTTACGAGTAGGGGATCCGGAAATTCCCCAATGTACTTGACCCATTTAGGTGGCTTCTACATAATCTCCCTTATCTTAATAGTACTAACAAACCAGACTTAATAGTCCAGCTGTACAGTGTAAATTCTGACACAAAGCCATAGGCCATAGGTTCTATTCTAGACTTCATTGCATGCTTTCTGAGTAAGACTTAAAGGCGATTTCAGAGCGGCAAAACTGGAAATATTTGGAATAAGGCAATATTTATGATATTGACACATACATGTACTGCTTCACATTAGCACATTTCAATCAGTATTTCATACTTTAGGCATTTAAAACTGCAGAAACAAGCCTCAAGATGAGTCCTTTATTTTATGGGTGGTACCCTAAAAATCAGCCAAGGGCCCTTCCAGTAACCATGTTCCGTCAGAATTTTGGGTATTTTTGCTCCATGAGGGTCAATATACATTGGGATATTAAATGTGGTTTCAACTCAGCATGTAGATAAGTGATTAGAATTAGAATATTAACTTTGAAAAATTGGGTTTCCAAGCCCTAAAAACTTGCACTGGATGCCTTTAAAAAAAGTTCCATTTTCTTTTCCACCAAAGTTCCCTCTTCCCTTTACAACAAAACTTCAGCTGCTATGTTTCACTCCATAACTGCTAAGACATTCTATCATGTAAACTGTTCAGCCAGAATTTACACAAAGTTTTTTCTAAGGGTCAGCATCAATTTTCGCAGCAGTTTTGACATAAACAGTCCTGTCCAGCATCTTTCAGCAGCCACTAAGCAGCAACATGGCAGTCGTGAAATATGCTGTTTATTGGTGGAGACCTCCAAGTATCAAACATCTTCAGTGTGGAGCTAAAAACCAACCATATGATTATGACATTTTGTCTTCTTTAGACCATATATTCTGAAAGCAAGTAAAGCCTTGATACTAGGAAGAACATTTGACTAGTATACGGGAAACATACACATTATCTGTTTTACTGTATAAAACATTATACTAGTAACTTTTCCATGTATTTCTGACAAATTCGAGTGATTTTCAAAAGTTCAGGTATTATGGAATGTATGCAAATTAGCAAAAATTTTGGCTAACAGAGGGAAAATTATACCAGAGGGCAACATTTTCCTGCCTAAGAATTCGGTACTGCATATTTTCTAACATATTTCTGGGACTTTTATTTTTCACGCGCAAAATTTTCATGCCCACGTTTTTCACGCGCAAATTTTTCATGCACAGAAAACTGTTGTGAATTTTCCATATTTGTTCATCAGGGGGCCAAAATGCTTTAAATTTTTCCCTTCCCAGCAACAGAATTCCACACTGGAATTCGGAAAGATGGAATGCTAAGAAGAGTGCTCTGCTTACATTACCTACACAACCTCACTCTGTTTTCTACCATGCGTACTATGCACGATTTGAAACGTGTGCTGTGTGAGACAGTGACATGCTGTATATATTGGTTCCCCGGGACACAGGCCCTGAGTACAGGTATTTATATTGTACATTCCTGACGAGCTTGACTAATGTAGGCTGAGAGGGGGAAGCTGAAGGAGAAAAAGCACACAACTTTTTTTTACAAGGACTCTCCTCTTCTGAGCTTAACAAACATCACCTTCAATTAGTCCTTTAGAAAAACCAAAACCTTAAAACTGAATCTCCATACCTACAGTGAATGAATGAATGAATGAATGAATGAATGAATGAATGAATGAATGAATGAAAAAATGGAAAGAATAATATAAATGAATGAAATATGGTCCGTTAAAAAACTTCAGATTGACTACCGGTAGTCTCCATACATAGTGAATGAATAAATAAATGAATAAACTAAAGAAAAACAGAAAGAGTAAATGAATGAATGAATGAAAATGGAAAGAAATGAAAAATGGAAAGAAAGAATGAATGAATCATGAATGAACGAACGAACAAACGAAAGAATGAATGAAGAGTTCAAGATTGAAAAAGTTTGACAGCTATATAATGACGATTTTTTTAAAATCCAATTTTAACATCATTTTTCCCCAAAACGGGGGTTAGACGTGCTTGCATCAAATGCAAGTCTTTTTTTAAGCAAGATTACTGTAAAAAATAAAAGGGGATTCTGGACTTTAATTTGGCAAAGGAAATATTTGGGAATTTGCTGTAGTTGGACATCTTGTTGACAAGACTGGTTTATCAATGGCTCCTACTGCCTCCAGCATGTCCCTGGCTACAGCCCAGCAAACCTCAGACTTCTGCAGTACTGTAGGGACTGTTGGAATGTAGTCTGGTCCCAGGAAACCTGGAGAATTATGTGGCTGTTAATGCAATATAAACAGTACTTAAGACTACAGACCTTGAGCACATTTAAATGGACTCAGTATACGTACTACTCTTACTAGTGTTTTTGGTACAGAACCATCAGAAAAACTGTTTTATAACTTTTGTTTTAGGGTCTTTAATGTACATGTTTGTACAGAATATAACCTGATAATGATTGTGCATATCTATATGATATAATAATATCACAATCATGTACATGAAAATGGCTGGCAACCTCAGATATGTTGCAGCTCCAACAACATTTAAAAAACAGATCCACCAGCTGTTGTGTGCCTGTGAAGCTGGTGTGTTTTGCCGAAGGGTGGTTATAGTTATAGGGCCTATAAAGATATGGCAAAGTTTTCTGATAGCTACAGCTGTTGCAATCTGTTTGCTACATAGTTGCTGAAAAAAACAATGTCTGCCAAGGGATGCAACAGGGGTTGTCACAGAGGGGGGCTCGCATGCCCTTTTCCGTAGAGCGTAATCGGCCGTTTTAGAGCGTAGACAGACCGCTCTAATTCAACGTAGAGCATAATTGGCGTATTTTGCGTATTCGCCGTTTTAATTCCACGTAATGCGCTGTAGCCACTTGGAATTGTTATTGTTACATTTTGTTTTAAAGTGCGAATAAAAACTGAACTGAAACTGAACTGAATTTATCGTAAAGCGTAATCGAGAGGTTTCCGAATTCAGCGTAGAGCATTGTCGGGACCCCCTCCCCCATGCAGGCCCTCACAGAGCTACACTACTGCGCACCTCAAGCATGTGAAGTTTCAAAACTTCCTGAACCCTTGCTGTACTAGTGGCAGCTTCAACAAAGCCACGTTTAACCACAGTTGACAGAAACACGGGACCCCATCCTGTGATCCCCTAAACCTGCCAACCATGCAGAGGTCAAAATCAAAGCCATTCCTGGCACAACTGCGGCGGGAAAGTTCTTTGGAGTTCTCGACTGGTTCAGCGTGCAGTTAACGACACACTTCCTTCCTAGGAAACCATGCCCAATCATCATGGCACAAAAATTTCTCAGTCTCAAGTACACTTCAAAGTCTATGCTTGCCCCTGTTGTATAATCAGTATTCTTTGATTTTTCTTGGATGACTTGATGTTGATAACACAATGCAACTGTTTAGCCATGCTGTGCTCAATATATATTCGTAACCTTTTCTTGTACAGCTTCTCGTTTGCAGGTATTGGTTCTCTCATAAAACTTTTTTTTCATTCAACAAAGCAAAACAAATAACAAATTGTATGATTAACAGTCCTGCATTCTTTTAAGGTACTAAATAACCCATTTTTGGGGTGTTCTAAAAGTACATGTTGCAGTTAAGTATCGACTTTGAATTTTTGTCACAAAGTGTCTTGTTGCAAGATGATAATCCATGCAAATTTTTACTAATTTGTAATGATTTAAAATTACTAAAGTAGGCTTTAGGCACCAAGGTACAGTGTTAAGTTAAGAACAACTGTTGCACGGGATTCTCCTGAAAACTAATTCAAATCGTTCTTGCTGTCCACCTGCCAATTCTTATGGTGGGAAAAAGATGTTCTTCTATCAACAGTCTGTCAGTTTGCTTCTCCCTCCGGACCACAAAATCCTGATTAATCCAAGTCTGGGCACACAGTTGGGTCTTGTTTGTTTCTCCTGTTAAATAGTGATGCGTGTTTCTGTGATAGAACTTTTTTTCCCACCAACCTCAACTCTCATATCAATTCTCATACTCTCGATCTTTTTTAATTATTTCATTGATTGATTGATTTGCACTACTGTCATTATCATTATTAATAATTTTAGTCCATATATATTTTGTTTAACTGGTATTTGGACATCTAACTCAAGAATTAGATTCTTTGGCTTTACAACTTTGGGTTGAGGCAACTTGCCTTCATATGCAACCTAACATTGTCATTCAACATTCAACATGAACGAAACGAAATGATATCTTGTGCAATTTGTATATGAAATGGTTTAATGTAATTTTGATATGTAGAGGACAAATATGAATAAGCAAAATTTGAATTTGACTATGCTAAATGTACGCAATTTCGTGCAACTCTACTGTTAGAATTTCATTCCAAGATTGTGTACTCATTAACGTTTTAAAAAATGAATGTACATCTTTGAATGCAATTCAGCTTTCTGCAATGTTTGTGATTTTAGCAATAAACCATTTTGATTGATTGATTGATTAATTGATTGATTGATTGATTGAACAATCTTTCCATCCAGGCCAACTGCAAGAAATGCTTAGTGGGCAGCTTGGCATCGGGCACCCCCCTGGTGGTTTCCCCCCTGCCCCAGGGGCGCTCTCTGCCCAGCCCCAGTCTGCCTTCTCCGCAGCCCGCCAAACCAAGATGTACGGCAGCATCCCGCCGCAGCGGATCGGCTTCGACAAGATCTTCGTGAATGAGGGCGGAGACTTTCACCATGGTAACGGGACGTTTGTGACCAGAGTGCCTGGGGTTTACTTCTTCACCTTCACTATACAGTCTTACGATGGCAAGTTCACCAACATCGCTCTGGTACAGAATGGGAGAGAACAGGTGAGACAAACTTTCCTCCTTCTCTTCTTCTACTAGCTTACTGGGGGCCTGCATGGGGGGGGGGGGCCAACAACGCTCTAGAGCAAATTTTGAGAGTTGGCTACGTATTACGCTACAGTAGCAATTACACTTTACCATAAAGCCAAATGGCTACAATGCATTGCGTAGAATTAAAACGCAAATTCACGCTCTACCCAAAATGCGCCAATTAGTGAATTACACTCTACGGTGAATTAGAGCAGTCCGGCTACACTCTGTCTATGTAGAATTATAACGGCCAATTACGCTCTACGGAAAAAGGCATGCAGGACCCCTATACTGCTTCTACTAAGTTCTACATGTAGTTCCAACTTAGACAGTAAATGAGTAACAGACATTGTTTGTAAGCACGTTGGCAGAACGACTACTACGCCTGCACGAAACCCTGTTTTTTCACGGTTTTTGTTTGATGTTTGGTCAACGTTGCATCAGAGTTTTGCCTGTTGCAGACGATATCTTTTCCGACACAACATTTGGAAACTTATATGGAATGTTAACCTTATAATATATGCGTAAATACAACCTTCTATGATAATGTCCTCCCAAAGTTCTATGTACAATACAATGTACATTATACGAGTTTTGCACAGGTGCAGTACGTTCTGCCAAAGTGCTAGCAACATATCTTTTGAACTTTTGACTCCAGGTATTGTACCTGTACAATGACTCCAAGACGAATTAAGCAATGTAAAACTGTTTTTTTTAAAGAACTCTATAAGGCGTTTTTAGATATTATTGCTAGAGGGAAAGTAAAGACCAGCGTGGTATAATGTCAAGTGAGTTGGACACAAACATTAAATCTTTTAAATTCTTTTTAACGATACAATTTTATACTATTTATAGCCAAGAAGGACACTCAATGCATACTGGAAGCTGGTTGTTCTGAAAATATGTACATTTAAAACAGACCAGCCTAAGGGGAATGCCAAAGACCACAGTATTAGAAACTGCAACAACATTGAAAATATTTGTATTCAATTTCTACCTGTTTGTACTGTAAAAAGATGAAGATACAGAAATAACTCTTAATGTTTGGAAACCCTTTAAGAATATATTCAAAAGATGCAACTTATACCCTTAAGTCTAGAACCAAGAAGAAATCCAAAGACCGGAACTAAGTCAGACGGAGATACTTTACACAGTCTCTAGAAAATAAGCAGACACAGGTATAAACCTTTAAAGTGCGCCATTATACACTAAGTCTTGACAAAGTATTAAAGATTTAGTAGAGTCCAAACATTCTAGAAGGTCACTGGCATCCAGGTGGCTCTCTAAAAACTTAGACCACCCCTACAGAGTCTGTGGGCTAATCCAAGGAAGGATTTGATTTTAACTGAGACCTGGTTGAAACCACATGATTGCAGGGGTGTTAAGTTTGTAAAAAGAAGAGCTTTGCAGGTGGGCCAAAGGCACTGTGAACAGTTGAAATCCACAACTCACATGTTCAAACAGTGTCTTACCTGTGGATAACCCCAAAAAGTTTACACACCTGCCCAACAGATCTTTTTTGCTACAAAGAGGTACACATGTATTTCAAGGCCTGCTTTGATAGATAATGCATGCTCTACACACACACGTTGTATTGTACAACAGTTAAACAGTCAGTAAACTGGCCAGGTGTTAGGACAACTCTGGCTGCACCTGGGTAATCATTCTGTATTGACATTGCCTGGTAAAACAAGCTGGGTAGTCTCCCATCAATCCTAGTTAGTGCAAACCTCTGGATTCTATAATTCTTTTTGGAGGAATCAGACCATTGACTTTTCTATACTTTTTTAGACATACATGTACATGTAGGCTATTTTATTTTTCTCAGTGTTTTATGGTCAAAAATACATTAAATCAAGAGTAAATTGAAAGGTATAGGTGGCAAAATATACATCATACATTAATAGAATTGTCATGTCATAAGTCAGCTTTTAACCGTTTGTCAGATTTTGACTTTGCCCAGCTACCCTGAATCATTTTGATTCAAGTTATCTTTTAGCTGACTATTCTGAACAGTCTGTACAGCAGATGATACAAGTCTACCTTGATGAGTCCGATGACACTTTTCAAAGTATCCTACAGGTGAACCCATATTTAGTTTATACAACCATCAGTTGACACCTTTTCCAAACTGCTGACCAATTGGCAACATTTTTCATAAACATCCTCGACTTAAATCTGAAGTTTGACCTTCAGAATGTGACCTCAACCACCTGTTCAAAGCTAGCGAACATTGTAGGCACATGGCTTCATCACTACCTCCACCAGGCCTTCCTATGGGAATATATACAGATCGTAGCATTTGGCAAAAAGAGGAGTAAAATTGGCAGCACGTCGGCAGAACGTACTGCACCTGCGCAAAACCCGTAATGTGTATTGTGCATAGCACTTTGGCAGAACGTCTCATATAAGGTCGTATTCGTGTATATAAGGTTAACACCCCGTCTGTAGTTTCCAAATGTTATGTGGGAAAAGATATCTGCTGCAACAGGCAAAATTCTGATGCAACGTTGACCAAAATTCCAACGAAAACGGTGAAAAATGGGGCTTTTGCACAGGCGCAGTACGTTCTGCCGACGTGCTAAAATTGGCCAGGTGAGTCAGTTTATGGAATACTCAAACCCCAAGGCGGCCAAACTCCCCTGGCAAATGTTCTCCCTATGTATAGCCAGTGTAGTTAGAGACTACATATAACTACTAATGAGGCAAGGTACAAAATCTTACTGAACGTACCCCCCTCAAACCTGTCTCAGTGGACCAGTCCTCAGCATTGCTGCAGAAATTGAATTTGCGAGGGGAAATTCCAGAAGCCAGACCACCAAAGTAGAGACAGTTCTAATCACTTTGCCCCATCAGAGAATCCCTCCCTTCCTTCCCCAAACAGACCTGTGCAGAACCTTTCTTCTTACAAATACCCTTGAGGCCATGATTTTCATTTTACGGGGACCACCGGCACACTCCAAAGTACTACAGATCAAGGAGCTTCTATTGTACAGATACAGTCTTGTCCAGATGTGTCAGTGATACTAATTGAACAGAGCTGAATTGACTTGAGCATAGTTGAGTAAAGAGGAATAATATACTACATAACTTTTAATAAAGAAAGGAAACTCTCATGACAAGATGATGAAAGAAAAGAGCATCATCTTGGAAGAGTATAAATACTATAATGATCAATGTCAAAAATACTTGATTTGAAGATATAGCACAAGATTTTGAACCTAGAAATTGTGAGGACTTTAAAAGAAATCAATTTTCAGACTGCATTTCATCAGTTACAGCTACAAATTCTAAAGTATAAACTCAATGAACTAAACATTTTTGCCCCCCTCCCCCTTCCCAAGGTGACGTTGTACACAGAGGATGATGACAGAAACATCATGCAGAGTCAGAGCATCATGCTTCGCCTGGCGACCAATGACAAGGTCTGGCTGCAGCTGGACGGAGGAACACACCACGCCATCCTCAGTTTCCATGACAACCGCATCACGTTCAGTGGATACCTCGTCTACGCTAAGTTCAGTTAGAATCACGATATCGTGTTGGGGGAGGGGGGGTCATGGTGAATCAAAGAGTTGTGGTGTCACTGTACTTATTGTGATAAGGCCATGTTGATTTGATTATATGGATGACATCCTCTGGGAACCCCAAAACTGATGCGAACGTGCGATTAAAAAAAAGTTTAGCAAAAAGGAAAAAAAGGTTGCTTTCATTATGACGTCTACGTGGTCATGAAGGTTGAACAAATGACACAGAGTATGGTATGGCGAGTAATCCACTCTTCAAATTAATTTCTTTACATTTTCATCTTTTTCGTTTGATTCTACGACATTGGTATCGTTTTCCAATATTCCTTTTTGCTCATTTTGCAACTGTTTTGTACAATTTACAGTATGGTTGCAAACATTTTGGAAATGGCCAAAAATTCATGCGCACGCAGATGTCATCCATATAATCAAATCAACATGGCCTAATGTCATTGGTTTCTACATTGTGACGTTCACATCTAGTGTGTATATTATGTTTGTCATGTCAAAAATGAAAGGAAAAGAAGTTGACCAAAGACTGTTGTATATGTGATAAATGTAGCATTCATAGATATTTGTACTAGAGTATAGAATTATCATAGTTGACTTTCATGTAGTTATAACTGAAATATTGCAAAATACGATCATGTATTTTACAATCATGTATATCTGATAGCAAAGATAGTTATGCATAATTGTCATTGTCATTATATAAGTTAATATAGTGTGCTAAGAATAACCCAGTACATGTACATGTGTACATGACATGTGCCAAAATTCTGCTTTCATAATTTCCATATTTCATAAAGATTTGTACGACTTGTATCCTATGAATAAGGTATACATTGTACTTTTATAAAGCATGTTTAAGTTGCATTTTAGAGGCATCAAATTCTTCACTTTATGATCAATTAGTATATGCATCTGTGAATCGATTTTACAAATTGTTGTGTAAATTTGTTAGCTTATTTATAGCTCTTAGCTTAATTAGCTAAATGTAGTCTATAATCATCTACATTGTTTAAGGTAAGACTTCTAGTTTGACATTACACTGTCTCAAGTACATAAAGCCACAATGAAAAAGTGTACAAATTGTAGTTTGTCAACTTTTTTGTTAGAAAGTTATTGAATGACGGTGGAAGAAATACTGACCGAGAATGTGATAAATGGAAATAAACCCTTGCACATTCAATTGGCCTTAAAGGTATCATTTTAGATCTGAAGAATAGTTTCTCAGAAATGTGCTACAATCTGATCTTCAAGACCAGGTTTGCACTTAAACTTGGAAGAAAAATTAAAGAACACTCAGCAGTGGGATACTAAGTACATTCATGTGGTGTTTTCTGAGTTCTTTCTTGTTGTATGAGAAGCTATCATAATGTTTCATAATATAATATATACACTACCTCGATAAAGCAGCCAAAAAATTGGTATGTCAATGTAAACAACACTTAGAGCTAGTGCTGTGCGCCAGTTCGCTGGACCGGTTCTGGACTTGTAAAAATGTTTAGGTTCAAGTCCAAAAAAACCTAAAAGTCAAGAACCGATTGCGGACTTATTACAAGAAAAACCCATATCACAGTACCCCTTTTCTTACCAAACCACCTAAAACCTTCCATTGATTGCAAAATCTGTGCTGTAAAATGAAGAAAACATTGCCATCGCACATCGTCAAGTGTCGGCCTCCATGTTAAGTGGCCAAAGTTTTGCTCAGACAACATTGCAAGGTTGCCAACATGCAATTTTGTATATGCCATGGGTTTAGGTCCAGACTTACATGTACGAGTCCGTAACTGAACCTAAACCCCTAGACTTGAATCTGGACCTGAACCTAAATGTGGGTTTAGGTACACAGCACTACTTAGAACCTATCCCAGACACAGAAAATCTAGCAACTGTGTGTGTTATCTTGTTAACCGGAACCACCTTGCCAACAAAATATGTAGAGGAACCACTGAGAAGTATGTTATGATTGAAAGGTTAAGCTATGTTGATCACAAGAAGGAGGTTTAGGAATAACTCAACAGATGCTTAATACTATCCATATGTATGTCTATATGAGGGAGATTGGCTGGAATGAATGTACACCAAAATGTATTGAATATGATGTTACCAGTATGTATTAAACATAATTCTTTGCCATGTATATTGTACTACTCATCCTAAAATTAAAACATCATGATTGTTCTCCTCACTGCCAATATCTGAAGCAAGCAGGTTTAAAATATCATCACACAGAAACTATTACAAACAAGCTAAGTGTATCACTGTATAAGCTGTGGCTTGTTTTGGGAATAAAGAAACTATTTCTTACTTTCAAAGTAACTGTTATAACTTCTTTTGCTTTTCCTGCAATGTGTTTTGCAGCAGTACTAGAGGCCTGAGAATTTACTAGTAAAATGTAAAATCTTATTATGTACAGGCACATGTCATATTCATCTACATGATATGGGATGTCAAATTATGCAAACATCATTCTGTGCAAATCTATCAGCACAGAGCCACCAACTAAGCTCACAACTTACATGTACTTATATGGTCAAACATTCCAGTTAATTCCACAAAGAACACAAGGATTATGTGGCAAATTCCATATGCAAACTTTCCTGGATACGTTCCTCATCTAGTTTTCTTTGATTTTCATGGTTGTCAATTAAGACCATCCTGAAGGAATTCATAACTAGAACTTTTGAGATAACTGACAAGTCTGTGCATTTCAGCAGGCTCCAATAAAGATATTGAGATGTCAAAAAGGGTACTACAAATTTACACTAATAAATCATTTGAAATATGCATTTCAAATAAGTACTCTTTTCCTGTTTTTGAAGTTTTAGAAGCAATCCAAGACTTTTCCGATCTTTTAAAGAGATATATCTCATGTAAAAAGCAGTATTAATGGAGGTATCTTACAGATTTGTAGTATAATGTAGGTATCAGAAAAAGCTTTTATAAGTCAGAATGAAGACCAGACAGTGTCGAAGAGACACCTATATGTGCCTGACAGTACTGCAGGCATAAGTCAACTATTTACAATCCATCAAGCTCCTATACTAGTCCCACCACAAAGCTCAACACAAGCAAGCAGTTGCAGGCAATGCCTTAACAATCACGACTACAGAAAAGGGAAAAATTTCATAACAGAAAATATTCCCCACATATCATGTACATGTACAAATGTACAAATGTACATGACTATCAACCATAATTCCAGGCTGTACTGTACACAGTAGAGATCTACTACATTGTATCAGTAGTAGACAGTACATGTAGGGATGGTGGTATTAGTACATAGTTAAGTGTGTCTGTATAATAGTTCAAAATCTGACCTGAAAGTTGATGGGGGGAGGGGGGTTCTTGGGTTCCAGTCTGACCACGCTGGACTCTACCTTGGGCGGTGGTCGGAAGTTGTTCCTGCCGATCTGTAGTCAGACAAGAAGGGAGGGAACAAACCTGTCACATGGTAACTCTTCACTCACGAGTCACATGAGAGATAATCTGGGGGATATAGTTAAAATTAAACTTTGTACACTTCAAATATCAGTGTGCTTAACTGAATGTACAGTACACGTTTGCAATGCTAATGCCAAGAACACATTTCTGTTCTGACATGGTACATGTACCTAAAATTTCGGATGTTTAGATTACTTTTAAACTGTTATACCACATTATTACCACATTTCTACTTAAACGATGATCCTTTTACAAAACTTCAAGTATTTAACTGTCAATTTCTACTGTGGTACTACTAGTACCTGTGCCCACAGCACACATATTAGTTTACAAGTGTACAATATGTGTGGCAACAATAAAACTAAATGTACTCAAACTGAAAGTAGAAAGATAAAGTTGGATACTTGGTAATCATAAAATTACAGAGACCCTTTGTGCTACAGGAGTGTAAAATGTGAATCTGTCTCCAACCTTCATGAGATGGTCCACTCTAGCCAGGAGCTGCACGTTGAGAGACAGTCGACAGTACAGCTTGTCACCGGGCGGGGCCACCAGGCGCTGGGCAAACTCTCTCTGGAACATCAGGATCGCACACCTAGCAACGGTTGCCAAGGGGCCATGTTAATATACATCAACAGTATGACACCTACAAAGGGACGCCTATAGTATATGTGTCTGACAGTACTGCAGGTACCATTTACTAGTACTTGTACCTAAAAGAACACGTACAAGTACATGCACTAGTAAAATTTTGTTCAAGTACTAGTCAAATTTTTAAACTGACACTACTAATACTATGCAGTCAGCAACAAACCTTATGTTAAATGGACTTTTAAAATGTTTCAAGTACTGATCACGTTATAAGTTTCTTGTACTTTTTTTTTATAAAAGTTAAAACTCCTTTATAAAAGACAATGACCACCAGTCCTTGATCATGTCTTACCTGAAGAAAGGTCTGTGTAACAACAGTTTGAAGACTAGAGGGGAGGAGATCTGAAGTGAAACAACAACAATTTGAACAAATATCAGTAACACTCATTAAGAGATTAACCAGTGCCAGATTAACAAGTTTAAGGGGCTGTCTACTTAAAGGTGGTACCATTTTCTTACATGTCTATTCCCATCAGCAATTCTTCACTTAACTTGTACTTTTTACTTTGTTTGAAAATATCTATATCTAAAATGTATTTTTATCTATATCTAAAATGTATTTTCAATGTAACATATTACAATGTATGCCAAATGCTTCTTCTTTCTTACTCTTACTTACTAGTCTTAGTAGGTTTTTGTCAGCTAGCAATATAATAAGCAACACATAGATGTTGAACAATGTCAACTTCTTTTCCTTCTGCCTTACCAAGTGTGCAACATATCATTATCATCAACATTACAGCCCAGACTAAGCTCACAAAATCAGGTGCAAAAAATGTTAATACAGCCACTCACCTGGTAGGGTATGTTGGCTACACAGATGTCAAAGAACGGCAGATCAGTCTTTAACGCATCTCCTACCATCATCTGGAGCTTGTGAGCTGATGGTCTGTACAGGAAACATCAAAACCTACA